GGCCAAGTTGAACGTTTCAACTTGGTTGAACGTACCAACTTTCTGAAAGAGCAAATTCAGCTCACTCAACTTCAATGCCGCCCCCTGAAACATGCTGTTACAGAGTACTTAGGCACATATCTTAGTATTTAGGCAGTACTTAAGCCACTTATAGTGGTTCAGTTAAACCTTGAGGCCTTATGCCTCAAGCTACTACAGGCTTTTCACCTGCACAACTTTTGCACAATCGCCAACCGCATTCTGGAATTGACATTGCAGGGTTAAACCCAAAGTCTTATGCCGCCTTTGCCAATGTTGTATCCTGTGAGAACGCGAGTATTCAATAAGCAACAGGCAGCTAAGCAACACATTGATTCAAAGCACAAAGCTAAACCTCCTAAGCTACAGGTGGGCCACAGGGTTAAAGTTTGTCTTCTAGGCAAGCAGATTAAGTACTAGGCTACATATATGATCACTAGTCAACTTGGACTGAATTCATTAAGCTTGAGTGATGGCAATGTATAGAATGCTTCAAAGCTCCTTTGCCCTAATTCTTCATTCGTACAAGAGAGTTACTCCCCGCTTCGATCCATGTTCTTTTGCAATGGCCCAGTTAGTGACTCTTCCACAAACCACCTTACAGGCACCTTCACAAGAAATGACTGATGTGCCCAGCCCCAGTACAGATTTTTTCGATGGGGGGACGATGTCTTGGGTATGGATGTGTCATGTACGAACACTTCAGAAACGCTACTGCTCTCCAATAATGAGCATGTAGGTGAGGCCCAAGGCTCAAAATCTTCTGAGATGAATAAGGCTCCATCAGTGAATCCTTCACCTCATTCTCCTGCATGCCTTCGTCCCAAGGGACGCCGTAAAAAACTGGATTGTTACAGGGATTATGTTTGTGAAGTGAGGTGTTGGGATAGTTGGTCTTTCATGAGTGGAAAAAATTGCGCTACAATTGATGCGAAAAACGAAGTTCACAGAGGATCATATGAATGATCCTCTGTGAACTAAATAATTATTAGAGGCGCGAGCACTTAGTGACATTCTCTTTTCAATTTCAAAGTTTGGGCTCAGTGCTTTCTTCCATTTTTCCAAATATTTAGAAAAAGTCTTCCAAAAAAAAAAACGGGTACAAAGTAAACTACACTGAGTGGGCGTGGTTAGTGATCAGTCAAAGTATAAAAAGGGTTATGCGTTTCTTCAAGGCAGCCTTGAAAAAGACGAGCACACTTCTTGAAATGCTGACAGCCCTTGTAAATGACCTTCCTCCTTTGTATGCCATCAAGGTGGAATACGTAGGTACGTGTTTTTGTGGCATTCACACAATCGGGAATTAACTATGGCGTCCCACAGACAGGACAGGTAATGAGAGGACAACTGGCTGATTCAGCGGCAGGGGTGATAACGATTACTTCATGGGGGGGGGAGGGATTGTAGGACACCAAGGAGGGAGTTCGTGTGCTATCAGAAACAAATGCTGCTTGTACTGAGCTGCTAGCATGCATATTCCTCAACAAATCAGAGGGAATCAGTTGGGAAGATTTGCAAGCTGGAGAGACTTCTCTGACCTTTTTTGTTCATTAATGACAACACCAATTGTTCGAACAGCATTTAGGACACGTGAGAACACTTGTTCATTATTCGCGGCTGACTGCACGGCTCAGTGTTCACATGCGCTGGCTTGCCACCATTTTATGTTGGTTTCAATATTAAGATGAGGTGACCGTGTAATACATGTGCGGAATGTAGGCATGCGCAGAAGAGAGTGCAGTTATGCGTGACACACGTGCACCATGACGCGAAAACAACCTTACAGGAGATGTAAGCACCCCTACCCATCTCTCCAACCTTAATTCAAACCATATCCCGAAAAAACAAAAGAGTCAGCTACACAAGCTCTAACAAAAAAATGACAACAAAAGTCCCTATAAATACTGCGCATGCACCAGGACACCGCCGCCGGCCGACACTGCTGCCTTGTCTGGCTCGACGACTTCACCACAGTACCGGTCTCGCAACGGCAACATTGCCGTCGGCGCGAGATACCGTCTTTCACGCCGACACGTCTTTTGGTTGAGACCAGCACTTACGAGGGCGCCAGACTGCAAGCAGTTGCGCAGGTCCCAAGCATGTCCGTCGCCCAATCTCACGACCCCATTCATGGCCAGCGGCACTGACGATGTGCAAAAGACGGCCAGCCGCAGGTTACATCACTCCAGCTACGTACATTCGAAGCACTCAAAAGAACAATGCAGTAGGGCAAAGGGAAGGGAGCTTTGGGCTCTTCACACACGTAGTACGATGGTCATGAACTGCTAGCTAATACATCGGCGGCGGCCGAAACGCCTCGCTCAAAAATAAAATAAAGGTCCGTTTTCTTAACTCGTGCATTGCAAGATAAAAAAAGAACGTGAGGGTAAGCAGAGTGCAACACCTCAACGCCACGATCCGCCTAGTTGTGCCACATGCGACAGGCGGCTGCGGAGAGCCTTATGCTTAATGAATCGCTTGATAACAACCGGCATCCACCCAGCACCCAGCCTAGGTGCAGAAGAGGCAGCCGCAAAGAGACATCAGCTCAAGAAGGTGACCCTACTCGCTCCCCCCACACAGCAGCTTACTGAGCGATCCGCGTCTACCGTCCCGGCGTCGAGCCACAAGACAAGATAGCAATGACGCCCGACTCCCTAAGTCCAAAGAGATAGAAGAAGCTATTTACAAAAAATTTAACCACCCAGGAGGCTTCCGTACTCATTGGCTTCGGGCTTGGCCTACATCCACGTGCTCTAAGCTTTGCTCACCCCAGGATGCAGACTGCATGGCTCTCATCTTAACTGAACAACCTTTTTGAAAACCAACAACAACAACAACAACAAAAAACCACTTGCGACGAAAAAAACAAAACTCAGCGTGCCGACAAGTTCAAACACATTAGAACAACCGATCTCCTTACTCTCAACAGAGCATACCGCCGACGCTAGCAATGGATTGATTGATTGATATGTGGGGTTTAACGTCCCAAAACCACTATATGATTATGAGAGACGCCGTAGTGGAGGGCTCTGGAAATTTAGACCACCTGGGGTTCTTTAACGTGCACCCAAATCTGAGCACACGGGCCTACAACATTTCCGCCTCCATCGGAAATGCAGCCGCCGCAGCCGGGATTCGAACCCACGCCCTGCGGGTCAGCAGCCGAGTACCATAGCCACTAGACCACCGCGGCGGGGCGCTAGCAATGGAAGTCCCACCTAGTCCTACTCTTCCCCGGCTCGAACAAAAGATTGTACTGAACTGCAAGAACTGTTGTCCGGTGCTCCAAGAGCCCCACCTTGGGCAGCTTGTGTGGGTCTAGTTGTGGGGAGAGCACCATGCTCTTGGAGTGAATGAACACAGCCGACATGGTCGGACCAAACTACACGACACACATTCATTTAACTACATTCAGAACGACGATATTGTCAGCCCAATTAATATACATCAGTTGTGATCCACAAGCTCAACGACCTTACACAACATTACACAACACTCAAAACATAAACCCAAGAACACACTCAAGGCAGTATCGCCAATGCTTGACTTACCACGAGAACACCCAGTGTGCAACCCGCAGTGCCGCGGGTTAGGAACCCACCGGCATACAGACAACCGTTCGCACCAACCGCTATTGACCAAAGAAACCCGCTCATCTCTCCCTCGCCGTCACCAAGGCTTGTCGCCAGGTGTCACTGCCAGCGCCACCATTCTAATTATGATGATGGTGGTGATAAACGCTTGAGAGCACAACACCACTTACCACTCGGTAGTTGTGAACCCGAAATGTGGCCTATGCGCGAGACAAGTGCACCACAAGACGACAACAACTTTACAGGGGGTGTCAGCACCCCCAAAGTACACAGTTTAAGATTGATAAAGATATACAGTCTCTTTTTGTAATTGTGTCAAACTTTTTATGTGACAAGCCTCAATAAGACAAGCACTACTAGTAGTGAACATGAGAAGCTATGTAGATGTACATCGATTCGCTATTAAACATTGTTGAAAGCCAGCACTGTGTGTGTCCTCGTCTGTTACGCTGTTCTTCGATTCATTTATAAAAGGGTAGGCTATGCTTTACTCTCCTCCTTTCCAAGCTCGTCACTCTTGCTTCCTTTTCCCATTGCTTACTGTGCCGTACTATACTGTCCTTTACCCTCACCCCTCTTGCTGCACTGTACTATACAATGGCTACGCTATTTTTTACCTTCCTCCTTGCTCTCACTTCTTTTTCCCACCACCTTGCAATGCAGCACCGCACTGTCCTCTACCCTGTGCCCTCCTCACGTTTCCTTGCTATACTGTACCTCTCTTGCTGTGCTTGACCATCACCACTTATTCCTTTTTATTATGTCGTTAACGTCATGACAATATCACAAATTTTGGATGCATCTCGATGAAGTCAAGAGATGACATCGTCATGTGCAAACTTCTTTTGCATTACTCATGTTTATGCCAATGCCACAGGACTCCGACAGTCAGCTTTGTGCTTGATAAGACATCTGGGGCTTTCGCATCACTTGTTCAAGAAGAATTCCTTATTGGGCTGGTCAGTACGCACCTTGATATATACTAAGTATTTTCAGCGCTAAGAAATGAGGACACAAAGCAGCGCTGCCCTCAAAAAGAAACTTCAATGGGAAGTCAGTGCCAATTTGTGTGGTTTATGTGTCTTCTTCTGTCCCCATTTCTAAACGCTGCATATGCTTAGTATATTGTGCCTTGTATATGTGATGTCTCGCCATGCATCTGGCTGAGGAGCACGGCATATGGTGCCATCGCACCGAGGGAAGCACTAGCGTTTCGGTGGCGCAGTTTGCAGAACACGCAGTGGAAATAAAGTCAGTTAGTCACCCGAGTCTGTGTTGGCTGGTCGCTTGTTTTTGCTCTCCGCTTGTACGCGGAAGCCCGCTTCACCCCTATCACAGTATATTGACTGGGACCATTCTGATGGTCGGCTCTTGTTGTCCCTCCAGAGCTCTCAAAGTGAGCGGGACATGCTTCACGACAAGGTGCTGCTCTCTGGTGTCACCGTGTACGCTTTCTCTCACTACCCAACGGTGGACCAGCGAGGCCGCGTGTTTGGACTGCGAGCTGACGGGCTCATCTTTCCCGAGAGTACGGCTGGCGAGGAGTACCTCGACTACCCATCCAGGGCAGGACTGCTGGCCAAGCTGGCTGCTGCCACCAAAGGATCGGCCTTTCAGGTGAGCCCCTACCTAAGGACACTGATAGCTCTGGCAACACGGTGGCAGCAATAGAATTCACGCTATATATAGCAGCCTGCACATGTTTTCAAGCAGTACTGCAGTTGCGTATTTGGAAACACCAAGTTCATTCAAAGAAATTGTGGGCTTTATTCGGAATCCTGCAAGAGTTTGTTTAGTCGTACTACTCCTGTCAACTTTCTCCTTCATTTGCCCTCTTTGCCTCAACTGATGCATGTAACAGGAAAAGATTGCCACACTTGTTGCTGGTCTGGTTGATACATGAATACTACAGTACTAAAGGCTGAATGCTTCATAGCAGATCTGCAGTCCCAGTGCACCTAACCTTTGAGTGCTGAAGCACCTTCATGTCAGAGAAAATTATGAGAATTTGTTTTCTTTTATTTCTACTCTCATATACTACACTTGTGTGCACAAATTGTGACAAGAACCTGTTTTCTTGGTAAAAATTTAATTGACAACTGGTAAGCAAAAGTACCAGTCAGAATTAACCTGTAGGTTTTCAAGAATGACATGTGTTAATTTGTTGTGCTTGAGGTTCAATTTTGCATATGACTGTTTTCAGTCTTGCGCTGTGAAGAAGAAACTAATTCTGCCGGTAGAAAAACAACGAGGTAGCAATTCTAAGGTGGTACCATTCACCGAGTTATTTTTCTTCTTCTTTTCTCAAGCCGATCTTGTGCACACCCTGTTTTGTCAATTATGTGCTTATGCAGGAATGGGAATTTAGCCTTTACTTTTATAAAAACCCAGAGTTTAAATGCAAGGGCAACCCAATGAATGTGATAGCAACAATTTGGAATGCCATACAGAGTAAGCTTTGCAACTAGCCCTGTTGCACCTGACCAGACATAACACAACAAACTGCTGGCAACACAGCTGCTGCTGCAAGTGAAGTGACCTTCATGCAGCCTATCACTTCATCACAAACTGAGTGGCGTGAACACATGTGTCTGCTTATATCAACCAAGATAGGGCGACCACACCTGGCAGCCCAGAGCACACACTTCCTCTCGTAGTAAGATAGCCCCTTTCCAAGAACAGACTTTTCACGAGACGGAAGATGGCTGGCTTGTTTTCTCTCTGCTTGAGCCATGATAATTGGCAACCTTCTCATAGTTTCACTCGCACATTGAATGTAGAAGGCATGAGGCAGTGTTACTGACCATGAACTTTATACAGAACCTCACGGCGACGGCAGAAATGCGCCTGCACTGTCGATACAATTGCTGTCGCAATACAGCAGACTTCATCATTTAAAGTTGGGTAATTAATAATTTCCATTAATTCAAACAATTATGTATTAAATTCTTGGTTGTCCCACTGTTTTCAGTGTATTTTAAAGCCGCTTATTTCAAACTGCCCCGTTGCTCCAGTTCAGTTAATTCAAGCTCTTTGCTTGTCCGTCGTTGGAAATATCTGCCGCTTAATTGTTGTTTCTAGCTGAACATTCATGGTTCTACGTAGCCAACAGTCGCAAATCAAATACAGTATAACCTCATTACAATGGACGTGCTTACAACAGACATTCGAATACAACATATCAATTGGTAGCATTATGCCAACCTCTCTATTTGTTCCATTGGTTGAACTACCATTTACTACAGATTCTGGTACAACAAATATTTGGATATAATTGACTAAAATGTGAGGCCAGCAAGGTGGTCAGGACTTCTTTGCAACGGACTTTTGTACCACAGACATTCCACATTCTATAACTTTCAACTTCAAACATCACTTGGCACACTTTTGGGATTGGAATAACCTCGCAGATATCGGCGTACTGATTTAAGTACGAAAGCCATCGATATCTGGTTTATTAATGATTAATTATGCCAAGCTGCGGCAAGAAAAATCGGCATACAGCGTGCTTGGTTTTGCGTGTTGGGTCGCTGACGCGCGAAATTAATGGGCGCTGCCACTGCATTTCCGAGCGGGCGGTGCTCGGCGAGTTTGGCCAGGTCTGCTAGCGATGCGCAAGATAGCTATTCGGGGTTTTAATGAGACAGCGACCGATGTGTTTTGTTGCTTGCGACCAAGCACATTACTGCTTCTTCTTTCTCGTATACTCGCGCTAGCGCGACTGCCTTGCCCGCCAAATTCGAGGCGGACTTAGGCCTAGCCACAACTTCCAGCAAAGGTAGCCAAGGCTCCACAGAAGCCCATAGGTTCAGAAAATGGCGGGTGATCAGCTGCTCCATAGAGTTAATGAGCTGCTCATGGGGCTTAGCTGTGAGGAGGGAACACTTGCGGCGGAACAAAAAATAAAGTGGATGTCACAAAATACCTGGTGACAACATTTTGAGTGCCCTAGTGCGAAATTTGATCTCAAATTACTTTCCATGGGCCCCTGATCGCTAAGGGCTCGCTCTCAGGCGATCGCTGGTGGGTCCTCCACGAGTTCGCTTCAAGTCAATGTCAGCTAATCTAATACTGACTCATGACTAGATAGTGATGTTTAAGTGTACTATCGTTCACTTTGCCTCGATTATACAAGGAAACTTCTGCTTCGAACAGTCATAGTATCATGGCATTCATGGTGTCTTCCGCAGATGTACTAAAGCAACCAACAGTGTATAGCTGCCATATCTGCAGCGTTGCTTATTTGCTTCAAACATACGCAGCTTCTTTGGCATGCACAATGCTTGTGCTCTCCAGTTTTAACAGAAAGAAATGACGCCTATTCACGCCAAAATTATGACATTTCAGCTTTATTCAATGGTCACAATAACTTCAATTTATTACAATGCACACGATGGTAATAAGCCCGAAAAAGTCTGCGGACATTGCTAGCATTATGTTTTTTTTTGCATCATAATGCAATAAATTACCACATCGTTTGCGAATGCAGACATGCAAATTGTAGCGTGATATACAATTTGGCGATTTGCTCACCGATAACGCGAATAATAGTAGGCACTGCGTGCTCCAGAAGAAAACCAGGCTGCAGAAATAGTGATGGATGAAAGTTCAACGAGCAATGCATTCCGAACCTTTGCACTTATTTCTGATCTAGAAGACGTGATCATTTGTTGCTACTGCTTGCACAGCACACCGTTTCTGCAGGTGCCTACAAAAGCACTCTGCGTTAAATGTAATTCGCATCGCTCTGCTGCTTGCTAGACAATTCACTCAAGACGTTCACCAACGATAAAATTTACTTTATAATTTCGCGCGCAGCAGAGAACGCAAGCAAGCACGAACACTTAGGGACACTAAAGTCAAATAACAATTGACGACAGAGTGATAGCTTAAAGTATGACAACATCTAAAACGATGATATTATCAACAACAGTGCCCTACTTACCGATAAATTATGGTAAATGCACAAGCACACATGCGCCGCAGTAAGACATTTTCAAAATGATCCTGATGACATCAGACTGACCGCCAACAATTAATCACTAGTAATCGATCTAACTGCACTAAATAAAGAACCTTCTGTGCATCAAGAGACACAATTAAATGCTGCTTGTTCGTTTCTGTTTGATTCACGGAAAAAAGAACCGCCGGAAGTTACTATGGAGAATGGCGCGAGTGGTCCAAAAATTCAATTTTCGCGTGGTTACACGGGACAGGTGGTGCCATCTAGTGGGGCACAGTTGAAACAAAGAACGTCCGCTACCTAGGGCAACCGGGGCAGCATGGCAGAAGCAGACAATCAGAGGTCTTGAAATGAACTTCAAGCTTTAGTTTTTTTAACACGAAATGCTTTTTATGAAATACTTTTACCACAAAGCCAAAATAGTGGTTGGCAGTTGTGCCATTGCAATATATATTTTCTTAAATGTTTTTTTTTTTTGTGACTTTCACGATGACTGTCACCACCTCGGCAGGCGCAAAAAATTTTTTACAGCACTTCTTCGTAGTTTTTAGAGAAGATATTTTGTAATCGGATAGAAAAAAGGTTACAGAAACCACATTGTGACTTTCACAAAAATTTAATTTTTTATGTCCCATTGAAAATAAATCTGTACATGGCTCGTAATTCTTACTGGTTATAACAGACCAATTCAGTATTTCCATAAAAGTCTGTTGTAAAGTATTGGGATTTTAATCATCATCATCAGCCTTACTACGCCCACTGCAGGACAAAGGCCGCTTTTATGTTCCGCCAGACAACTCGGTCCTGCGCTTGCTGCTGTTACTTTATACCCGGAAACTTCCTAATCTCATCTGCCCACCTAACTTTCTGTCCCCACCACACCCGCTTAACTTCTCTGGGAATCCAGCCAGTTACACTTAATGACCAGCAGTTATCCTGCCTACACGCTACTTGCCCAGCCTATGTCCATTTGTTCTTCTTGATTTCAACTACGATATGCTTAACCTCGGTTTGTTCCCTCATCCACTCTGCTCTCTTTTTGTCTCTTAAGGTTACACCAACCATTTTTCTCTCCATTGCTCGCTGCGTCATCTTCAATTTAAGCTTAACCCTCTTTGTAAGTCTCCAGGTTTCTTCTTCATAGTTAAGTACCGGCAAGATACAGCTGTTATATACCTTCCTCTTGACGGATAGTGGCAATCTACCAGTCATGATTTGAGAGTGCTTGCCGAATGTGCTCCACCTCGTACTTATTCTTCTAGTTACCTCAATCTTGTGGCCCAGCTCCACGGTTATTACCTGTTCTCAGTAGACATACTCTTTTACAACTTCAAGTGCACTGCTCCCTATCTCAAAGTACCATTGTCTTCTGAAGTTGTTGCACGTTACTTTCGTTTTCTGCAGATTAATTTTAAGACCTACCTTTGTGCTCTCCTGATCTAATTCATTAACCATTACCTGCAAATTATCCCCTGAATTACTCAGCACTGCAATGTCCAAGATGGGTTTACCAGCGCAAAAAAAGACAGAACATTCAGGAAGGACACACACACAACACTGAACTCACAACTGATTCATTATTTCGAACGCAAGGCCTTTTTGTAGGTATGCATAAAAAAAACAGAGAGATAACATGTTGCTGAATAAACAATAAACCGAAGGTGATCGCGCAGTCTAAAATTTTCTTGACACCCAGTACACCCCCGATAAGAAGAATGAAGAGAAAAGTATATCATTGATCCTAAAACCAACCAGAAGAAACACGCTAAAGCCAGAGAAGCCTAGGCAGCTGCACACGAACAATAAAAAAAGATCTAAAATGTTAAAAACTAAAATGGAATACAAGAACAGTGTAAAGCATGTATTAAGCTTATTGAAAAGGCATGCACCATAAGTAGGTATTCGAAAGGGAAATGGAATCCTTTCTGGTTGTTTCCATCATTTTTTGTGCTGGTAAATCCATATTAATCAAGAACCAACTTGCCCACGCAGTAGATTTAGGTAAGCAATGTCATCGACGAAGCATGGATTACCAAGATACTCTCCATTGACTCCTATTTCTAATTCTTGCCATTCTAGGCCTCTGAAAATCTCCTAAGCACGCGGTAAATAGAATGGGGAAGATTGTATCCCCTTGTCTTACATCCTTTTTGATTGGTATTCTGTCGTGTTCCTTATGGAGCACTATTGTACCAGTTTATCTTTTGTAGATTTCTTCCAGGGTGTGTATACATGCCTTGTCAAAGCCCTGATTTTGTAGTGTCTGCATGACTGCTGATATTTCTACTGAATCAAATCCCATCTCGTAATTTATGAAGGCTAAATATAGTGATTGAGTGTGCTCCGAGCATATCTCCATCACCTAATGAATAGTATGAATGTAGTCGATGGTTGAGTAGACTTTTCGAAATCCTGCTTGTTCCTTTGATTGATTGAATTCTAATGTTACCTTAATTCTGTGAGCGATTGCCTTTCTAAATAGCTTGTATATGACGGAGAGCAAGCTGATCGGCCTGTAACTCTTAGAGTTTTTGTCGTCCACTTTCTTATGGACTAATATGACGTCAGCAATCTTCCAAGATTCTGATACCCTACTTGTCAGGAGACATTTCATAAATAGGGTGGCTGGTTTTTCTAAGACAATCTTAGCTTCATATTTCAGCAGATCTGATGTTACCTGATCCTCACCAGCAGCTTTGCCTCGTTGCATTCCCTCTAAGGCTTTCCAGACATCTTTCGTCATTACTGGTGGAATGTCACATGGGTTACTGCTAGTTTTCACATTACGGTCATGATTGCCCTGGTTACTGTACAGATCTCTGTAAAACTCCTCTGCTACTTTAACTGTCATATATCCATACTGGTAGTTACTTTCCTTGTCCCTTAGTGCATACATCTAATTTTTGCCTATCCCAAGTTTCCAATTCAGCACTTTGATGCTTCCTCCGTTTTTTAGAGCATGTTCCATTCTCCCTATGTTATACCTTCTTATATTGGATACCTTACACTTGTTGATCAACTTGGAAAGCTCAGCCAGTTCTATTTTGTCTGTTGTGTTCGAGGCTTTCATGCGTTGGCATTTCTTAATGAAGTTATTCATCCCCTGGAACAGCTTGCTAATGTCCTGTCTAACTACCGTACATCCAACTTCCACTGCACACTCTGTAATGATACTCATCAGATTATCATTCATTGCGTCAACGCTAAGGCTGATTTCCTCGATAAGAGCCGAGTATCTGTTCTGAAGTGAGACTCAGAATTTTTGTACTTTCCCTCTCAATGCTAGCTCATTGATTGGCTTCTTGCATATCAATTTCTGTCGTTCCTTCTTTAAGTCTAGGCAAATTTGAGACCCTACCATCCTACGGTCACTGCATCATATGTTGCCAAGCACTTCCACATCCTGCACGATGCCTGTGTGTGCATTCAGTATAAAATCCATTTTGTTCTTCCTTGCCCTATTAGGGCTCCTCGATGTCCACTTACGATTCACTTGCTTTCAATAGAAGGTATTTAAGATCAGTAAATTATTGTGTTCTGCGAATTCTACTAATAACTCCCTTCTGGCATTACTAGTACCGATGCCTGGAGTTACTAGTACCGATGCCTTAATACCCTACTGACTGGTCTCCAGCCTGCTTTTTTCCTACCTTGGCATTGCAGTCACCCATTAGTATAGTACATATACTGTGTTTTTACCTTATTCATTGCTGATTCCACGTCATCATAGAACTTTTCAACTAATACATCATCATGGCTGGATGTATGTGTATAGGCCTGTACCATCCTCATCTTGTATCTCTTATTGAGTTTAATTACCATACCTACCACCCTTTCATTAAATCTATAGTATTCCTTTATGTTACCAGCTATGTTTCTATGGATAAGAAACCCCACGCCCAGTCCTCTTTTATCAGCCTAGTCACAATAGCAAAGGACGTGCTTGGTTTTTTCGCACTCCTTTTACAACCAACCAAAATCCTCGTCGCTACGGAGGTCTATTGTAATGAGGTTGTACTGTAAAGCCGACTTGATGCCTACACTATGGTCAGACTAGCCAAACTGCACTCAACAACAATCACATGTTTACTGAGAAAGAAAAGAAAAACATTTTCGCCGCAATAAAGTAGTGCCAAGAGGAGAAGCGTCCTTAGAGTCTGAAAGGGCTACAAGAAAAAGTATGATTACCAAATCTAAAAAACATCTTTGACGATCATGTAGAGCAGTGTATATGTTTGAATGACTCGAGTTTGAATGACTCAGTGATAAAAATAAACATGTTTTCAGTGTGATAGTACACATGTATAAACTCAATGCCGCCTCTTCTTGTAGGTCCAATTCGTTGAAGCCGGCCTGCCTGCCGAGTTCTTCACTGCAGTTGCCCAAGAAATTTTCGCCAAAGTTGGCAAGGAGGCAAGAGGCTGTAGAGACTGTGAATGCGACAGGGGTCGCGCATGGAGCTCTGTAGCTCGCTGCAGGCCAGTTGGCTGCTGAGGTCACAGTTTCAACTGGGGTCAGCATTTAATATTGCTACTCGGGCTGTACGCACTAGATGGAATGTGAACAAATTACTTTTTAAAGTTGCTTTACAACTGGATCAGTAGCTTACAGTGGCACAAAGCTTGAACACTAGAAGAGAAAGCAGTACGTTAGAATCAGGCAGACTGGCATTTGATCTTTCACAAGCACGATGCGAAGATCACATGATTGCCTTTGCATCTCATACTAACTATTACAACTGCTGCTAAAAGAGATTAAATTTTAAATGTTAGTTTGTGTGCCCTTATTCTGGCATCAGTCAGTCCTCTCGTGCTTGAAAACAAGATTCAGAGGTAATGCATTAAGCATGGCATTTTAAGTTTCCAACTTCACAGGTAAAGACTTAACGTTGTTGGTGCAGACAGCCACCATAAACATGAACGCAGTCACCCTTTGTACAATTAAGACAACAATGAACTACTACTGCATATAATGAAGTAAATAGATATTTCTCATGTACATTGATGACAGTGGCTATTGGAACAGCTTGTCAGTCATTAATTGGGACAAAGTATAGCACTACACCGGGAATTGATTGAAACTCTAACCAAAAGTTTGTGAAGAAACCTGACGTTTTGGAACTGACTTGGTTTCTTCCTCAGGGGAAACTGAGGCCACGTAACAGTGGCATCTTCAAAGCACTTGTGGGGCGGTTAATGACCCCTTTCTCTCCCTCTCGTTGTGCGGTGGAGCGCAGTCCGTGTGTATACACTGTGGAAAGGGTTTCGAGAGAGCGGTCAATGTTTCGGGCCGTTCGCGAGAAGGTTTCCAAGAGAGCGGTTGACCTTTTTGAACCGTACGTTGTATGTGCCACGACTAGGTTACTACTCGAGTCGTGGCACATACAGCGAATGACCCAAAACATCAAACACTCTCTCGGAACCCTTCCCATAGTGTATACACATGGACTGCGCTCCACGGCAAAACAAGAGAGGGGTCATTAACCGCCCCACGAGTGCTTTATAGATGCCGCTGCTACGTAGTCCCAGTTTCCCTTGAGGTTATAACCAACCCATTTCCGAAACATCGAGTTTTTTCACAAACTTTTGGTTGGAGTTTAAATCATTTCCCAGTTTTCATACCCAACCAGACAGACATCTGTCAAATGTTTACATTCAAGCACTACACCAACATGTAAGAAGAAACATTGCAAACACAATATTCAAATGTTAATGGTTAATCCCATTTGGAGGTATGCTATATGGTTACAGGCAAATGTGGTTCTGAAATATTAATTAAGGAGTCCGAACATACAATCATATCTACTGCTTCACTGACCAGCAAACTTTTCGCATATCCACCAACCTAGGCGTCTAGTGTGCCACAATAGGTCGCACTTGTTTGCAGCCCTTGCAAGTCCTCCCAGTTTCTTTTTTTGTATGTGGTATCCTTGCTCAAAATGTGTATAGATTTGTGATGTGCATAACTAGAGCATAATTAGAGCTGGTCATGAAATAAATATTTTCTTATTGAACGTCTGTCTTGTCACTCCTGCTTGTGTCTCTACTATACAGATGTAGTGTGCTTGATATAGCCGACATCCTCTTGTAATAAATTCAGGAAAAGCTTGATAGTTTGAAAATTCAGACAACTGGATGATTCAAACAATTTCTTTGCCCCTGGCCAGCATACGCATTATTTGATGGCATCAAGCCTTTGTGAATTCGGTTGTAATAGACTGTAACTAGGTTGATTTCAATGATTCTTGGAGCATGGTTAGTGCACAGTGCCACAAATGTGTGATGCAAAAGAACGAACATGGCATTTACAGACTGCCGAAGCAGTCGCAAGTATAGTGCACTGAAATTCTGTCTAGCATACCACTGGCTTTTACATGAAAAAAAACATGGACACAAAATAGAGAAAACAGGATACAGGTATGTGGTTGTTTTTTTTTATTTTCTTTCTTTCATGACCCTAGCTTTTTTTTGCACAAATTCCCTTCACAATGAAGTATGCTTATATGAAAAAATTCAGAACATTTCATGTAGACATTCCTATTGGTCTGAAATTAACTATGTCACCCAGATAATTGCTTCGAGAGTCACATATGTGTGGCACGGGTGTGCTAAAGTGCACGCACGTGTAATGTTTTGCTTCTCACTAGCCAAAGATGCAAGGATCAGAGGGGCGGTGTACACGAGATGTCATCATCATTATCATCATCAGCCTGACTACATCCACTGCAGGACAAAGGCCTCATGTTCCGCCAGTTAACCCAGTCCTGTGCTTGCTGCTGCCAATTTATACCCGCAAACTTCTTAATCTCATCTGTTCATTTAACCTTCTGTCTCCCCCTAACCCACTTGCCTTCTCTGAGAATCCAGTTAGTTACCCTTAATGACCAGCGGTTATCCTGTCTACAAGCTACATGCTTGGACCACGTCCATTTCCTCTTCTTTATTTCAACTATGATATCCTTAACCCCCGTTTGTTCCCTAATCCACTCTGCTCTCTCCTTGTTTCTTAAGGCTACACCTACCATTTTTCTTTCCATTGCTCGCTGCGTCATCCTCAATTTAAGCTGAACCCTCTTTGTAAGTCCCCAGGTTTCTGCTCCGTAGCTAAGTACCGGCAAGATACAGCTGTTATATACCTTCCTCTTGAGGGATAGTGGCAATCTACCTGTCATAATTTGAGAGTGCTTGCCAAATGTCCTCCACCTTATTCTTATTCTTCTAGTTACTTCAATATCGTGGTATGGCTCCGCGGTTATTACCTGCCCTAAGTAGACAGTCTTTTACAACTTGAAGTGCACTATTACCTATCTCGAAGCGCTGCTCTCTTCTGAGGTTGTTGTACATTACTTTTATTTTCTGCAGAATAATTTTAAGACCCATCTTTCTGCTCTCCTTGTCTAACTCCGTAATCATGAGTTGCAAATTGTCCCCTGATTTACTCAGCAAAGCAATGTCATCGGCAAAGTGCAGGTTACTAAGATACTCTCCATTAACTCTTATCCCTAACTGTTCCCATTCTAAGCTTCTAAAAACCTCCTATAAGCATGCAGTAAATTGCATAGGGGAGATTGTGTCCCGCTGCCTTACACCCTTCTTGATTGGTATTCTGTGGCTTTCTTTATGAAGCACTATGGTAGCAGTTGATCCCTGTAGATTTCTTCAAGGATGTTTATATATACTTCATCGACGCCCTGATTCCGCAGTGTCTGCATGACGGCTGATATTTCTACTGAATCAAACGCCTTCTCGTAATCTATGAAGGCTATGTATAGTGGTTGGTTATATTCTGAGCATTTCTCTATTACCTGATTGATAGTATGAATGTGGTCGATTGTTGAGTAGCCTGTTCGAAATCCTGCTTGTTCCTTTGGTTGATTGAATTCTAATGTTTTCTTTACTCTGTTAGCAATTACCTTTGTAAATAGCTTGTATACTACAGAGAGCAAGCTAATCGGCCTGTAATTCTTCAAGTCCTTGTCATCTCCTTTCTTATGTATTAAGATGTTAGCTTTCTTCCAAGACTCTGGTACCCTTCCAGTCAGGAGACACCTCGTAAACAGGGTGGCTAGTTTTTGTAACAGAATCTGTCTTCTATCTTTCAGCAGATCTGATGTTACCTGATCCTCACCAGCAGCTTTGCCTCTTTGCATGCTCTCCAAGGCATTTCTGACTTCTTCTATCATTACTGGTGGGATGTCATCTGGGTTACTGCTAGTTCTAAGAGTATTAAGGTCATGGTTGTCCTGGCTACTGTACAGATCCCTGTAAAACTCCTCCGCTATTTTAACTATCCTATCCATATAGGTAGTTATTTTGCCTTCTTTGTCCCTTAGTGCATACATGTGATTTTTGCCTATCCCAAGTTTCCTCTTCACTGCTTTGACGCTTCCTCCGTTTTTTCAGAGTGTGTTCAATTTTCTCCATGTTATACCTTCTTACATCGCATACCTTACGCCTATTAATCAACTTCGAAAGCTCTGCCAGTTCTATTTTGTCTGTTGTACTTAATACTTTCATGATTTGACGCTTCTTAATTAGGTTCTTCGTTTCCTCGGAAAGCTTGCCAGTGTCCTGTCTAACTACCCTGCCTTCAACCTCCACTGCACACTCCGTAATTATACTCGTCAGATTATCATTCATTGTATCTACGCTAAGGTTGGTTTCCTCACTAAGAGCCGAGTACCTGTTCTGCAGCGACACTCTGAATTCCTGTACTTTCCCTCTGAGTGCTAGCCCATTGATTGGCTTCTTGCGTATCAGTTTCTGTCGTTCGTTCTTCAACTCTAGGTGAATTTGAGACCATAACATTCTATGGTCACTGCATCGTACCTTGCCAACTACCTCCACATCCTGCATGATGCCTGGGTGGCCCTCATTATAAAGTCTATTTCATTCTTATTTTTTTCATTAGGGCTCCTCCATGACCACTTACTGTTTACTCGTTTTTGGTAGAAGGTATTCAAATTCCGTAAATTATTGCATTCTGCAAATTCTACTAGTAGCTCTCTTTTGGCGTTTCTAGTACCGATGCCATAATCTCCTACTGCTCGGTCTCCAGCCTGCTTCTTTCCTACCTTTGCATTAAAGTCTCCCATCAGTACAGCATACTGTGTTTTTACCTTACTCATTGCCGATTCTACGTCTTCATAGAAGCTTTCAACTGAAGCGTCATTGTGGCTGGATGTAGGCACGTAAGCCTGTACCACCTTCATCTTGTATCTATTATTCTGTTTAATTATGATGCCTACCACCCTTTCATTAATGTTATAGTATTCTTCTATGTTGCCAGCTATGATTCTGTGAATTAGGAACCCCACTCCCAGTTCTCTTCTGTCAGCCAAGCCCCGATAGCAAAGGATGTGCCCATTCTGTTGCACCCTATAGGCCTCACCTGTCCTCCTAACCTCACTAAGCACTATTATATCCCATTTAAGACCCTCTAGCTCCTCCAATAGTACAGCTAGACTTCCCTCACTAGATAAGGTTCTATCGTTAAACGTTGCCAAGTTCAGGTTCCAATGACGACCTGTCTGGATCCAGATATTCTTAGCACCCTCTGCTGCGTTGCAGATCTGACCACCGCCGTGGTCAGTTGCTTCGCAGCTGCTGGGGACTGAGGACCGTGAGTTAATTAACGTACGCATGTGGGAGGTAGTGGCCAGATACTGCACCAGGGTGGCCAGTCTTTCTTTGGTGAGGGAGTGCATTACCGGTGGAGGTCACCGGTGAGGCCGCACCCCAGGCCTCTTAATGCAGTTCCATCGCCACGCGGATTTTTTTTATCCGATTGGGAACTGCCTGGCACGAGGATTTGAACCATGGACCTTTTGCATGTGAGGCGAATGCTCTAACTACTATGCCATCGCCACTTTATCTCTGTAATGTATATGCATGCATTTGTCCTTGTATGGAGATATTTTTATTGCAATAGCAAGCATATGAAAAGTCTCGGCTCGTTTTTATCCCGCAGCCACCACCGCCATCGTGCACCGTGAATGTATACGTATCTATATGTATGAAAACTCAGGGAAAAACAAAAAAAGGCCACCTGCACTCAGCACCTAGCTCGTCGCATCGGCCAACGCGTGCTTATCTCTCACATGTAGTTTACCCTGCCGATGAGGGCGGGGAGGGGGGGGGGGGGGGGCTAGGTGTTTGTGCGCGCGCACACTTACCCTTCAGCGGGGAGAATTGCGTGTCTTGGCCTTTCACCGGAACGATTGCGCTAGTCGCCTTGGCGACAAAGGTCACTTCGATCGCTGGGCAGGCACCATTTGTGATAAGAGTGCACTTTTCAAACACAGCGAAGTAACAACTGGGACACTCGTTAGTTCGCACTCATATCCGTGTCTGTGATTAAGTTTCATGCGTCGTACTTGTTTAAACAGTGCATTAAGCGTCAAGCTGTAAACGTTATTAGCTCTCAAGCTGCGTGTCTTATTTTTGTGCGTCAATTATGAGCAGCGCACCGCACGTTTCAATCTACTAGCCGTTCTCAGCGTTACATTCCAAGTTATTCAATTGTTGCTATCGCATTCATTGCTTTGCCCTTGTGGTGAAACTGACTTTTTTTTTTCTTCGTGCTTGCAGTACGGGACCCAGCAAATGTGTGAAGACTATTTTGTCAAGCCAATGCGGCAGCGGCGAGCTGCCTTCATACACACTTGCGATCCTCTGCACAAGGGCCCGACAGCAGACGGTGTGCGCTACACCGCTAAGCCACACGTAGTGCCGTGCAGGCAGTACACTATTTAGGTTGATTGAGATGGTTTCGTTGGTGCGTTTGTCGCAATGACGTGCCCCCGCATTCATAGGTAGCTGTCGTCACGCTCCCGTGAATTTCCATGCAGGTGTCACCGTACACGCGCCGAAGTCGCAGTAATCACTGCATTCTCTACTGAGGCTCTTATCCCAAATGAGCAAAATCGTAAGTTCTTGACAGGGGCATATGCTAACAAATATTCGTTAACATTGAATATTCGAGAAATATTCGAGTTAGTTTGAATATTTGACATTTTCCAATAAGTGGTGATCGAATCGAATACGAATATTACATATGCATATTCGCACACCCCTAGCGCAAATACATACCAAGCGCTCGCTCGAAACACGAGATGTGCCAGATAGAAAAGAAGAGACGTCGCAGTACAATGAAAAAAACTCACCCGATTTCACCGCACATCTCTCACCACACTTTGGTGCACTGGCACACTGCTGCAACTGCAACTCGGAGTGCATCAGCTGTCAACACAGTTAACTGAGGACTCACATGCTTGACATTGAAATATGCTGTGCTTATCTGATTATATTGCTCGACTTTTGGCCTGCCTGCGTTGCATATGCTGATCCACTCTGCATATTTCTGGCTTGTTTTGCACGTTTGCAACTTGAGAGTTTACCTGTTTGCTCACTCTTTGAGAAGTAAATCAATCGCTATGTGTTCACATTCACTTTGTGTAGCTGCAAGCACTCTTCCTTCCACAAATTTACGGAGAGAATGTTTGCTTCTAATACCTATTGCCACAACATTTCCATGAGTGATGGGGATATACTATTACACTTACATGTATTATCTGCTTGACTTTCAACGATAAAGCAGAAAGGTTTACAGTAGGTACAAGGCTTGAGGCTCCGCAGTTGCAGCTACGAACAACATGCAAAGCGGGTGCAGGCTTTATTAAAATGAAGCTTTCCGAAAAATCCTTCCAGGCTTTCTTGAGTGCAGCAATGGTGACTAATTTCCCGAACAACCTGCACAGGACAGCGGCTCACACGACACTCCCATCTGCACTACCCTTTCGTGTATGCCAGTAACAGGTCAAGCCTGAGATTATAATTACTATCCGTTCTATCATGTCACACATGTTTGACGTGGCCTGGAGTCGAAGACATAACAATGACAGCTTGACATCGTAACGAGCACTAGATGGCAGACAGAATGGACATATCGACCAGCTGTTTAGAAAGAGAGCATAAAATTATATTATTTTCAATCGTGCACAAAATGTCTGACGAAATACAAAAAAAAGTCACAAGCAACAAAATATTGTGCAGCGAAACTTAATTACCACGAAAGTAAAAATCTTTCCTAAGGAACAAAGGGCAACAACATCATAAAACAGAAAAATTACGACAAGAAAAAAATATTTAACTTCATTCTCATTGACAAGAAAGATGTTTCACTAAAAATGTTTATGTAGTAGCTCTACTTGACAACCTGTGTGCCTTAACAGAAGCCACTTTCTGTATGATTGTTTGTGAGTCTAGGCAGCATATTAATGTTTGTAGTCTGTACATGACATGATACATACTTTACAATCATCTGTATATCCTATGTGAAAATTAATTCTGTATTTCTAGATTTGCAGTGTCTTGAATGAAGCTCAAGGTTTGTGCACTCATCTATTGAAACACCCTAACAAAGCTAAAAATGAAATAAAGGCAAAATGTATATACCATAAGCACTTTAAGTAATGTGTATATTATTGTATGCATACCTTATGAAAGTACCAATTAACTCTTCGCCCTTGGTCCCCAGTGGCTGTGAAGCAACTGTCCAAGGGGGCAGTCAGACCTGCAATGCAGTGGAAGGTGCTGAGAATCTCTGGCTTTGTATAGGCCGCCACTGGAATCTGAACTTAGCTACGCTCAACGCTAGAACACTATCTGGTGAGGCTAGTCTAGCTGTGATATCTGGGGAATTAGAGGGTGTTATATGAAATCTAATAGGGCTCAGCGAAGTAAGAATGACAAATGAGGCTTATACAGAACTGACACATTCTATGCTACCGTGGATTAATTGACAGAAAAGAACTAGGAATGGGGTTTTTTATGCACAAGAATATTGCTCGCAGCATAGAGGAATACTATAGCATCAGTGAGAGGGTGGCAAGTATCATAATTAATTATAACGAAAGGTACAAGATGAGGGTGGTACAGGCCTACGCACCTACATCGAGCCGTGATGATCATTCGGTTGAACACTTCTAAGAAGACGTATAGTCAGCCATTGATAAAGTAATGTCACAGTATACTTTTCTGATGGGAAACTTTGATGCCAAAGTAGGCAAGAAACAGACCATGCAGTGGTAGAATATGGCATTGGTTCTAGAAATGCCAGAGGAAAGTCGTAAGTAGAGTTCGCAAAACGTACTAATTCACAGATATTTAATACCTTCTTCAGAAAATGGGCTAACCGTAAGTGGACGTGGCAAAGTTCTAATGGCGAAACTAAACATAAAATAATCTCGTGTGCAGGATGTAGAAGTAGTTGGCAAGATTCGATGCAGTGACCATAGAATGTTAGAAGCTCGTATTTACCTAGATTTAAAAAAGCAATGGCATGAACTGATACACAAGAAGCCAATTAATGAGCTAGCAGTGAGAGGGAAAGTACAAGAATTCAGAGTTTCACTTCAGAATAGATTTGAAGCTCTAAATGAGATAACTGACATTAGCATTCACACAATGAACGATAATCTTACTAGTATCATCAAAGAGTGTGCAATAGAAGACTGAGGTACAGTCACTAGACATGACACTGGAAAACAATCCTGGGAGATAAAAAAGTTTCATTAAGAGATGACAAACCTTGAAAGCCTCCAATGAAACCAACAAAATAGAGCTAGTGCAGCTTTCAAAGTTAATCAATAGGCATAAGGTAGCCGACATCAGAAGGTATAACGTGGAGAGCATTGAGCAGGCTGTAAAAAGCAGAAGAAGCTTATAAGTTACGAAGGCAAACTTATGCATAGACGAAATTCGGATGTATGCATTATGGGAAAATGAAGGCAATTTCATAATCAATATGGATAGGATAGCAGAGGTGGCGGAGCAGTTCTACAGAGCGCTGTACAGAAGCCAAAACAACCAGGATGATACATAAGAAACAATAATAGCCCAGAAGAATTCGACGTCCTACCAGTAATGACAGGGGAAGTAAGGAGAGCCCTAGAAGGAATGCAAATAGGCAGGGCCGCTGGAGAGGATAAGGTAACAACGAACCTACTGAAAGATGGCCGAGAGACCACAAGATTGAGGTAACTAGAAGAATAAGAACGGGGTGGAGCACATTCGGCAAGCACTTTCAAATCATGACACGTAGATTGCCACTATCCCTCAAAAGGAAGGCATATAACAGCTGCATCTTGTCAGTATTTACCTACGGAGCAGAAACCTGGAGGCTTACAAAGAAGATTCAGCGTAAATTGAGGACGACAGAGCGAGTGGTGGAAAGGAAAATTAAAGACGTAACCTAAAGAGACAAGAGAGCAAATTTGGTGAAGGAACAAACCAGGGTTCAGGATATCATAACTGAAACCAAGAAAAAGAAATAGAACGCGCCAGGAACGTAGCTCGTAGGCTGGATAACCACTGGTCATTAAGGGTAACTGAATGGATTCCCAAAGAATGCAAACACATGAAGGAGAGACAGAAAGTTGGGTGGGCCGATGAGATTAAAAAGTATGCATGTAGAACGTGGCAGCAGAAAGCACTAGACCGGGTTGACTGGCAGATCAAGGGAGAGGCCTTTGCCCTGCAGTGGGCGTAGTCAGGTTGATGATGATGATGTGTATTAGAAAAGAATTATTAAATGTGATGCAAAAACAAAAGTTCTCAACAATTCAAAAAGGACATCTTATGAAAGATGCCATTTATTTGTTATATTAGCGTCAACCACTTGTGACGTCAGGTCACAACAGTAATGAGAACAAAACGTTTGTGTGGTCTCATTAACATAGTGTCGAACAAAGAAAAACAAGCCCTGAAAATTCCTCCGCTTTCGTTAAGGCAACAATAGGTTATACATGAATAAAACATTGCATCATCAGTGACAAACCAAAAGATGGCAGCGCTTGTAATGAACACGAAATATTTGATAGTTTCTTCGTGAATGAACAAAAACTTGAACTGGGGATTGTGGTTTTGTTGTTAATCATTACTGCATGAGGCTCAATGACTTGTGCCTTATGGGACCATCTAGATCAAATTTTACAATTTAATGCTAAGTTCTACACAAACTTTCATTCCCGCAGCTTTCAAATTGTGTCATATCGGCATTGTTTTGAGTCAAACACTGACGTCACAGCCAACTTTACCTTTATTGAGCTAAGTTGTAGCAACACGATCTGGTTACTTGTCATGTTTCAGTCAGTGAGCACTGTACGGACAATGGTGAGTTTTACAATAGGGGTCCGAAAACTTTTTGTGTATGCATGCTTTGGGTCAAGCAGGACTGAAAAGTTTTCGAATAGGGTGTGCAACGCTTTGGGCACTCACCCAGCTTTCGTCACTCTAGTACTGGACGACAGCCGTCACTTCAATGGGTGCCGTCATGTTTGTCCGATGCAAAGCTTTTGGGGCAGGTTTTGGGGCTCTTGCTAAAAGAAAAAAATAGCATTCTCAACTCAAAACCCAAATGCGGTTTGGGTTTTGTGCATGCGCAGAGGCCTTGACACTATTTTTTGGGGGTCCCCCTCATTCGAAAACTCCCTAATGAAGAAACTTAAAAAATTTAACTGCCTCCTAAAAGCTTCAGGTAAGTTCTTCGTTTAACATATGTAAAGTGCACCCACCCCTTCACAAAGAGAGAAAGAGAGGGTGTAAAGAGAGACATCACCAGACTTACTTGGTCGGGGAGAGCGTCATTGACAGCGCATTACCCATGGTTGGCCAGAAGGCCATGAATCCCTTTGTGACTTCTCAATTTTATGTAACCACGTGTACTTAATAAATAGTTCTCCTTCAAGCACCGAGTCGCGTTATCACATGGTGTCAGAAGTGATAGAAGCAGTCAAAGTCAACAATGGCTGGTGAGAATGGTCAGCGAGCACTGAAATCGTTGGATATGAATTCGAGCGACCCCATCACGTAGCAAGACTAGTTGCAAGCATATGAATGGTATAAAACCGCAGTCCAGCTTCGGACCAAGACACCTGAAGTGCAAGTAGCAACATTTATGTCTGTTATTGAAACCAAAGCTCAAAAGATCTATCGTACGTTCAACCTAACGGAGAGTGAGAACAAAGACGTGAAAGCTGTCAAAAAGAGGTTCACTGAGCACTTCATGCCACGCACGAACGCTACAAGTTCAATCTCACGACACAAAAAAGAGGGAGAAACCTTCTTGGATTACGTGACTGCTGCAAGGCTACAGGCAAGCAGGTGCAACTACAGCTTGATGATGGAAGAACTCCTCCGTGACCGAATCATTGTGGGTGTTTATTTATTTATTTATTTATTACTGCCAGCTTGCTTTGCAAGCCATAAGCAGGAGTGAGTTGTACAAAAAGATAAAAGAGACAAAAGTAACTAACTGTAAATACACCTTGTGGGAAGGGAAAACAAGTTGAGATCTGTCTTGAACAGTATTTACAGCAAATGAAACACAGGAAACAGTACTATATAAAGAAACAAGACTTTGCAGGTTAAAATGCCTGCATGCAAATACATGGATAAACAACAACAGAACAAAACAAACAAACCGTAGCTTTTAAAAAAAGAAAAGTATGGAATGAGTATGGAATGGAGAAAAGTATGGAAAAGGTATGGAATGACATAGGAATGAAAAAAAAGAAAGACTATCGTCAACAAGGGAAGGACGTACACATCGCAGACCTGCTTAGCCGTTACTGCAACACCAGCGAGGATGCAGATACCATTGCTGAAGAATTCGAGTTTCTTGCCATACTGTAAATGCCAGAAGAAACGATGGCAGAACTGCAGGCAGCAGTGGCACAAGACAAAGCCATATAATGTGTGATACAGGTGACAAATCACGGATGGCCTGATGCAAGAAAAATGACAAGTGCACAGAAGCTGTTCCCACATTTGCGTGATGAACTATCTGTGTATGAAGGCCTGTTGTTTCGCGGCACTCAAATAGTAATACTAAATGCTTGGAAGAATGGGGTCATGAAGTTTATCCATGCTGGACACCTGGGCATCAACAGCTGCCTAAAAAGGGCAAAAGAGACCGTTTATTGGCCGGGCATGTCAAACGATGTGTGCAACATTGTACAGACATGTATAGTGTAACTAGAGTGTACTAGAATAGGTTGAGTGGCGCGATCGCCGGGCGCCGCCTACGCTTCCTGGCGAAGCCCGAACTGCGGAAAGTTAGCGTGGAGACGCTGCAATCGAAGCGGCTTGGAAATTTCCTCCGCGTCCGCCGCCGGGCCATTGCAATTTGCAGCGAAGGCGACGGGGACTGCGTGTTGCGCGAAATGTTTTGCAACTCAGTGCCGTTTACTCGTGTGTGAGAATGGTGTAGCCATGCCGAAAGGCAGGCATCGGCATTGTTATGCGCCAGGCTGTCGCACCGGTTACTCGGGCGTTAAAGCGGAGAAGCAGCTTTCATTGTTCAGCGTGCCGAAAGATGAAGCTCGTCGGGCGCTCTGGGAGAAGAACTTACATCGGAGCGACAAACCCCTGGATAGCAAATGCGCAGTGTGTGAGCTCCACTTCGATAAGCGGAACATTCAGCGGGACTACGTGCACATTGTGAACGGAAAGGAGGTGAGGATTGAGCGCGGAACACCGGCACTAACGAGTGACGCAGTGCCTACTGTATTGCCAAATGCGCCAAAGTACTTGAGCTTGACAGCTCCTCCCAAGCGAGCACCTCGCAAACGGGAGGCACCAGCCAAGCTTGATGATACAAAGCGCAAAAGGAAGAAAGTTGAAAGCCCATGCAGCACTGCGGCTGTGGAAGAGCCGTTCGAAAGCGACGGATTTGATTCCCCAGTGCTTGGCACTGACAATTTGTGTAATCTGAGTACTCCGTCTGCGTATTGGTCGTCCCATCGGTTTCCAAACTTTGAAGGTACGGTACACGCCCTTGGAGAGCTTGTAGAGTCCACTGGGACCGTAAACTCGGACCGCTCGGTCCTCTTCAGTGTAAGCAAGGACCAAGAAGTCTCATTCAGGACATTCCTCGCTGGGAAATTGATCACTGAAGGACGTGTCGAGACTGTAAGGGAAGCTGAGGGAGTTCTTCTTCGAGCCTCAGGCTTACGGAAATGCCCTGGTGCCATGTCTACATCTGCGATCATCGCAGAGGAGCTAACAAATAGCCTCCTGAAAAAAACAGCCGTCCTTGGCGGCGCTTTCTACAGCCGGAGATGTGCAGTAACGACAGGTAAGGGCGAAACTAATCTTTCACTTGTGTACATGTATATTTGCACATAAGGCAACATGGTAAACTGAAAAAGTGTGAGATATTTTGCCCGAGCTCCTGAGACGTAACAGAAATTGTTTTGAAGGCTGATAGCTTCGTGAACTTACTTTAAGCAGTGACATATATTTGGTGCTGATGAATTATGTTTATTTTCACAGCGGTATACTAGAGTTATTTGACGTAAGCATGTGGGAGGTAGTGGCCAGATACTGCACCAGGGTGGCCAATCCTTCTTTGGTGAGGGAGTGCGTTCTTGGCGGTGTTTGCGGTGAGGCCGCACCCCAGGCCTCTTAATGCAGTTCCATCAACACGCGGATTTTTTTTTTAATCCGGTTATAAACTGCGCGGTACCGGGATTTGAACCACGGACCTCTTGCATGCGAGGCGGATGCTCTAACCACTACGCCATCGCCGGGGGTTAAGGATATCATAGCTGAAATCAAGAAGAAGAAATGGGCATGGGCAGGGCATGTAGCGCGTAGACAGGATAACCGCTGGTCATTAAGGGTAACTGACTGGATTCCCAAAGAAGGTAAGCGGGTTGGGGGGAGACAGAAGATTAGGTGGGCAGATGAGATTAAGAAGTTTGCGGGTATAAATTGGCAGCAGCAAGCACAGGACCGGGTTAACTGGCGGAACATGGGAGAGGCAGTGGACTTAGTCAGGCTGATGATGATGATGATACTAGAGAAGTCATTTAGCAAACCCAGCAAAATAACATTACCATGATTTTTAGGAGCTCCTTGCCTGTCTTGTCGGTACCTTCGAAAGGCTCTTCTCACAAGAATGTCTTGGCTCAAGTGCCATCGCCGAAAGCAAGTGAGGACAGCTGCCCAGAGGCTGAGGTCAACCTTGCAAAAGCACAGGCGCCTTTCTAAAAAGGTGCTGAGCCTGAAAGGTAGAATTGAGGGCATGCGAGCCAAAAACGCGGCTTTAAAAGAAGAGACACTGGAAGAGAAGATCTCTACGCTGCCCCCAAAGCAGAAGGAAAATGTGCGGCACTGTTTCAGAGCATCAAAGCGAAAGAGCACAAATGGCATGCGTTTCACTAATGAATGGATGCTCGAATGCATTCTCATGAAGATGAGAAGTCCGAAGCTCTATAGACATCTGAGAAGACACAACATTCTCGTGCTTCCGGGCGATACTACTCTGCGGAAGTACACCGCCTCGTACAGGAGTGGCTTCGGTTTCAACAGAAAGGTTCTAGAAACTTTGAAGACGAAAACAGACACTATGGACACCTTCAGCCGTCATGGCGGCATCCTGGTGGACGAAATGAAGTTGTCTGAGCACCTTTCAATTGACAAGACTGGTAGAATCGGAGGCTTTGTCGACCTGGGGCCCTTTATACCACGGGCAGATGCGAACCTTCCTTGCGACCATGGTATGGTTGTTATGTTCGTGCCATTTGCAGGCAAATTTTCTCAGGTTTTGGGGGTGTTTGCTGCGCACGGAAATGTTAAGGGCAACCTTCTCTGCAAGATATTGATCGAAACAACGATCCTAGCAGAACAGGCAGGACTCTTTGTCGACTTCATAACCTGCGACGGAGCTTCGTGAAATAGACGAATGTGGACATCGATGGGCATCCAGGGAACCTCAAGCAAAATAACGTGCAAGGTGAAGCATCCTGTGGACCCCAAGAGGAACCTTCATTTCCTGTTAGACTTTCCTCATCTAGTGAAGTGCCTCCGCAACTCCCTCTTGAAAGGTGGTTTCAGCACACCAAATGGACGGGTATAAATGTTTTATTACATTCTTGCTTAACATTTTATATTAAGTCAACTGGCTAATCACTGCACTTTTATATTGATGCAGGTGTCAGTGTATTTTGTGGCCGAGGCTTTCAACCTGGACAAAGACAGCATCACCTTGAAGGCTATGCCAGGGCTGACTACAAGCCACCTTCAGCCCAATGACTTCGAGAAGATGAGAGTGTCCCTTGCCTTCCAGCTATTCGGAGACTTTGTGCTGCGTGGTCTACATCACTACAAGGACACCCTTGAGTCACGTTATGGAAAGGGTGCAGTTGATGCTACAGAATCATTCTTCAGGTACTTAAATATATTGTATCTGCTGTATTCTTTGGGCAAAAGACAAGAGTGCGTTAATGGCCATCACTGTTGAACCCAGCTCTAATGAAGATTTTTTTGCATTTACAGGCTGATGAACCAACTCATCAAACTGATGACCTCCAGATTCAAGTCCGAGGCTCTTTGGCCGCACTCAAGTGGTAGTTCTGCGCTCTCCAGTTTTCTAGACTACATTGACAAGTGGGAGCAGCATGTCGGCAAGGGCGTCGGGTTCCTTAGCAAGCAGACAGCTACTGGCCTGAGGGTTACGCTGTCCAGTGTGCTTTCTTTACTGGACTATGTTACCACAGAACTAAGCTACAGGTATTTGATGACGAGTAACCTAAGCCAAGATCCACTCGAGAACTTGTTTGGAGTTGTGCGGCAGTCGTCGGGCTGTAATGACCATCCGACCCCAGAGCAGTTCTTAATTGCTGTCAACTGCCTGAGCTACTATAGCCTAGCTAAGCCAGTGCGCGGTGCGAGCGTTACACCATTGGTGCTTACATCACTGCTCGACACTGGAGATGCACACTCGGCAGATGCAACAAGCCTGCAGCAAACAATTGATGACCACATCGCTCAAGGAGATCTTGACGTGATAGAAAGCGCTGCCTGCCATGACAGTATTGCTGCCCCAACTGAGCATTACAGCCTTGTGGGAAAAAAAAGTGACTCTCGCCTAGCATATTACATGGCTGGATATGTTGCTAGAAAGTGTGTGCAGAAGTCAGGATGCACTGCTTGTCGTACTTCACAGCTTGTTCCAGCTTCAGAAGGGAAGGAACATGAGTGTTCGGCCTTTACGAACTTTTACGTCAAAGGTGGTTTGTTGTAACCGTCTAAGGAGCTGTTTGGCTTCGTTAGCTATTTAGAAGACACATTTACAGACTGCTTCAGCACTAATGAACTGCGCAGTGATAGCATTTTAGATGTGCTGCATCTGGCCAGGGTTGAAGGGAGACCCCTTGGCTGTGCTCAACATGCAAAAGCAGTGAAGTCTCATGTGGTAAAATATTATGTTGTCACTCGATTGCACTTTTTGGTTAAAGGAATCAATAGAGCTAAGGAAGAACGGCGCAGGAGGCTGCAGCACCTAAAGCTCCGTAGGTGCGTGTAGGATTCCTGTACAGCTGAGTGCTCCACTCGTCCTGTTACATACCTGTAACAGTTTTCTTTGTACATAGTATTTACAGTGATTTTTTTGTACTTTGAAGTTTATCTGTGTACATAGCCAGTGTAACAGTGATACTTCTTTGTATATATGTAAAGCAATAAGTTTTAAGCATCTTTATTTTTATTTTGTTTTCCTTTAAAATGTATCTTTATGCATAGTGTGTGTGACTGATATTTCTTTGTATATAGCAGCCGGTTTTAAACATCTTTATTTTTATTTTGTCGTGTCTGTAAACACATTTAATATGCCGTTGACAGGTGGAAAAAAACCGCGTTGGTTTATGCCTGGCTTTATCCTTTGGCTAAATTACAGCTGCTTGTTTCTACACATTGAACGATATTTGTATATTTGCTGCTGATCCAATAAAAAGCTAAGGAATGCAGACATCGCTGCTGTCCTTTTAATATGGGTGTAAGAAAAAGCAGTTTTCTATTAGCATCGTTATTTAAAGCATTCCTTCCCGTAGCCGAGGCGTTGTGACAAAAGCACACGTGTAGCTTTCGCTCACGACACTCATTCCAATTTGAACTGCTATTTACAGCTTCGCGTTACTGCGGCCATGCACAATGAGACGGACAGCACGCGGACTTGACAGTTTCTCTCAATTGGTAAAAAGAAAAAAAAACGGAATCGCGAAGAACCTACGCAAGGGGCGCATTCGCGCGTCACCGTAGCAGACGCTCAGAGCCGCGAAACCAGTGCAGCAACATTTTGGGGCAATATTATGAGGCGAAAGCCTGATTATCGTGTGGAAACGCCATTTTTAATGCTACTCTGACAGTATAAATCTATAGCCGTACACCGGTAAGAAACTGGCCGTCGCACGTGTCGCCAAAGGCGCAGAAGCCCGGCAACGCACGACCGCGCGAGCGATGCGCGACCAAGCCGGATTGCTCGTAGCGCCCTCTATCGCAACTGCGTACGGAGCTGCAGGAAAACAGTGGTGGTCGCGCCACTCAACTTATTCTAGTACACTCTAGTGTAACTGTGTAACGCACTCTTCAATGAACTCTTTTAATAGGCTAACCTAGGCAGGACGAACTTGTGCCCGAGAATAATAAAGCAGCTAGATTGTCTCGAGGATTCACTTCTGCCTCTTCTTCTACGTTCTTCTGTTTTTTCGACACGGTTCGCGTGCAGCTGGGTCCCGCAGGCTCGTGCGTCGCAAACCATCTAGACGGCACAAATATCGGCTAGCGCGCGAAATTTGAAATCACATTGTGTCATTGCCTCCCTTTCCAGAGTGCATCGTCCCGATGCTTGTGTCGAGCTGGTTGCATGGCAGTCATTCACAAACCCTCGTCGGGGATGTCGTTGACGTCAAAGAACGCTGTATCTTCAGCGCTTCATTGCCTGTCGTGATATGGTTTCATCCTGACGACATGCACAGTTTCCGTGCGATGCCGCCGTCGGGATGAAATATCCTGTCCCTCTGGCCTAACTTCGTAGTTGAGCGAGCCGACGCGACGGAGCACTCTGTACGGACCGAAATAGCGGCGAAGCAGTTTTTCTGACAGGCCACGTATTCGTACAGGAACCCACACCCATACTCTGTCTCCTGGTGCGTACTGGACGTCTCTTCTTCGCAGATTGTATCGATGCGTGTCGGTTTTCTGCTGTTGGAGAATGCGATATCGTGCCAGCTGTCTGGCTTCTTCTGCTCTTTGTATGTAGTCGTGAACGTCATAGTAATTCTCGGGCGTCTCGTCAATAGGTAGCATTGCATCTAAAGGTGTCGTTACCGTCCGGCCAAAAACAAGTTGGAATGGCGTCATCCGTGTTGTCTCTTGCATCGCAGTGTTATAGGCGAATGTTGCATAGGGTAATATTTTATCCCAAGTACGGTGTTCTATATCAACGTACATTGACAACATATCAGCCAGCGTTCTGTTCAGTCGTTGCGTAAGACCATTTGCTTGAGGATGATATGCCGTCGTTTTTCTATGACTGGTGTGCGTCAATTTCATGATACATTTCATCAGGTCGGCCGTAAATGCAGTCCCTCGGTCCGTGATCAACGCTTTTGGAGCTCCGTGCCGCAGTACTATGTTGGAGACGAAGAATTCGGCTACTTCAACGGCTGATCCTTTAACAAGAGTAGCTGTCTCGGCATATCTGGTTAAATAGTCGGTGGCAACTATTATCCACCGTTTTCCCGATGACGACGTAGGAAATGGGCCCAGTAAGTCCATTCCCACTTGTGTGAATGGGGCTTCTGGTGGTTCTATCGGTTGAAGGAGACCTGCTGGTTTTAGCGGTGGCGTTTTACGTCTTTGGCAGTCCCGGCAGGTTCTGACATAGTGTCGTACTGAGCTAAGCAACTTCGGCCAGTAGTATTTAGTGCGGATGCGTGCTAATGTTCTGCTTACTCCTAAGTGTCCAGCTGACGGATCGTCGTGGCAAGCCTCCAAAATCTCTGGTCGCAGAGGTGAAGGGACGACAAGCAGGAATGTCGCTGTATTGTTGTCAAAGTACCTTTCATACAGGATGTTGTTTCGTAGGACAAACGCTGACAAGCCGCGGACAAAAGGTCGTGGAACATCGACAGGCTGTCCTTGTAGGTACTTGATCAAGAGGAGTATCTCAGGGTCGGATCGCTGCTGAAGTGCCATCTCTGATGGTGTCACAGCTCCCAAGAAAATAAAATCTTCACCATCCTCGGTGGAAGCAGAAGCAGCAGGTTGAATCGGAGCACGTGACAACCAGTCCGCAACACTGTGCTTGCGACCTGACTTGTACACAAGCGTGATATCATACTCCTGTAATCGCAAGCTCCATCGTGCAAGCCGTCCACATGGGTCCTTGAGATTAGCCAGCCAGCATAGCGAATGATGGTCGCTTATAGCCCGAAAAGGCCTACCATATAAATATGGTCGAAACTTGCTGATAGCCCATACCACGGCAAGGCATTCTTTCTCGGTCGCTGAGTAGTTCACCTCAGCTTTCGAAAGAGTGCGACTGGCATACGCAATGACTCGTTCTTGTCCGTTTTGCCATTGGATGAGCACGGCCCCAAGACCTAAATTGCTTGCATCTGTGTGGATATCGGTTTCCGCTTCCTCGTCAAAATGCGCCAGAACAGGATGGCTTTGAAGGCACTTTCGTAGTTCATTGAAGGCATCCTCTTGTTTGGCAAGCCATACGAAAGGCATTTCCTCTTTTGTCAGCCGTGTGAATGGTTCAGCAATTCGTGAAAAATTTTTAACGAACCGTTGATAATAGGCGCAGAGACCTAAAAATCGCCTAACAGCCTTTTTGTCTGTTGGCTTCGGAAATCTTGCTACGGCCTCAGTTTTTGCAGGGCCTGGGCGGACGCCTTCTGCACTGATGACATGGCCGAGAAAAAGGAGCTCACGGAAGCCGAAATGACATTTCTGCGGTTTTATCATCAAGTCCGCTGATTTGATCGCAGTGAGCACGGCCCGGAGCCTTTCCAAATGTTGCTCAAAGGTAGCAGGGAAAACTACAACATCGTCGAGATAAACCAGACATGACTGCCATTTAAGACCACAGAGCACTGTGTCCATCATCCGTTGGAATGTGGCGGGTGCTGAACAAAGGCCAAAAGGGAGTACCTTGAACTCGTATAAACCGTCCGGTGTCACAAACGCTGTCTTTTCGCGATCTCTTTCGTCAACTTCTATCTGCCAATACCCACTTTTAAGATCCTACGAGGAAAAATACCTGGCATTTCACAGCCTATCCAGCGTGTCATCAATTCTTGGCAGAGGATAAACATCCCGTTTGGTGACGGCATTCAGCTTCCGATAATCAACACAGAAACGTAAGGTTTGGTCTTTTTTCTTCACAAGAACAACAGGCGACGCCCATGGACTTGATGAAGGCTGGACTACATCGTCTTTGAGCATTTCTTTAACCTGATTACCAATAGCTTCTCTTTCTCTTGGTGACACTCGGTAGGGATGCTGGTGTATTGGCCTCACTGACTCGTCGACAATGATGCGATGTTTGGCGACAGGAGTGCGTCGAACCTTAGATGACAACGAGAAACATTCAGCGAATTCCCTTAAAAGACCCTCTATTTGCTCTTTTTCGCTCGGTAGTAGGCCTGGCTCGATGTTAATGGCTGCAAGGACAGACTCCACGTCTTCGAAATCAGAATCATTGGTTTCAAAAGTTCGCAGCTCCGCAACCTGGACAAAATCATTCAGACTGGCGATGACGGTTCCTTTTGCAACATGCTGCACCTCATTTCCAAAGTTTGTGAGTAGAACATTTGCACATCCGTCACGTAACTTAACAAGGCCTCGTGCCATGCAGATCCCTTTTTGGAGTAGTAAGGCAGTGTCGTTGTCAGCAAACCCTTCGAATTCACTGAATGCTTTGTTGGTTATTGCGACAAATATGCTCGATCTTGGCGGCACCATGACGCCATCATCTGCAATATAAAGGTCATATACGTTTTCTTTCGTTTTAAAGGTAGCAATCGCGTGCCTAGTCGAGAATGAGACGGAAGATTCTCGCAAGTTAATTTCAGCGCCATTAGCTCGTAAGAAATCCATGCCGATAATCAAGTCTCTTGAGCATTCCGGCAGCACAATAAAACTGGCGACGTACGTGAAACCCCGTATTCCGATTCTTGCTGTGCATATTCCAGTAGGGTCGATGAGGTGCCCTCCTGCTGTGCGAACTTGTGGTCC